GGAGGACAAGCCAGTGTTTCATTTTGTTGTCCATAGAGTTGCTTTAATATAGAACTGGCTCAAAACCTACCAGCATGATTTCTCACTCTTCAAAAGCCCATGATCTATGGAGGAGAGATTGAGCCTTTATTTATTTTACCACACAAAGGTTATTTTTTAACATTTTATTGACATGTAATTAATGTGTTATATAATTCAATAGTTCAAATATATTCAAAAGAGTTGTGAAATCACCATTACAATCAATTTTAGAAAATTTTCTGTTTTTTTTACCCCATCTAATTAGCTATCCATTTCTACCCAATTTCTATGCCCTAACCCAAAGAAACTATTAATCTTGTTACTCTTTCTATGGATTTCTATATCCTGTATTTCATGTAAAAAATCATACAAAACAATAACAACATTATACCACCACCCCCAAATCTCACTTTAAAAAGATCAGAAAGTCCTAAAAACTAGAAACAATTAAAATGGGTGATCTGATGGCACAGTGGTTAAGGACTGGGCAGCTAACTGCGATGTCAATGGTTCAAAACCACCAGTTGCTCTGTGGGAGAAAAAGTGGCTTTTGACTCTTGTAAACAGTCTCAGAAACCCACAAGGGTAGTTCCACCCTGACCTACAGCAAGGTTATAACTCAACATCAACTCAATGGTACTGAGTTTTTCATTTGGTTTTTTTTTTAGGAGAAATTTTAAAATGAGTCAAAAGAAAAAACAAATAATAAGATATTAAAATTTAATCCAAGGATATCTGTATCAATTTACTTTCTGATGCACTCTGTCTGAAAGCAAGGTCATTCACATTCTTGGACAATGTTCCAAGGAAATTTAAAGGAGGTGTGATCCTTGTAGGGACTCTGTAAATGGACGTAAGGCTTTCACTGTCATCTATAGCCTTCTCCAAACAGAAGTTAAGCTCTAAAACAATTCCTTCCTCTGATCTTGGATTTTATTTACAATCCTAGGATCACACAGGCTGGTATGCTTCTTTCATTGGGTTTAGCTGACTCCTCATTTAGATGACTGCTTGTTTTAAGATAAGCTTTTAAGACCCCAAGATATTCTTCTTTCTAATAGCTGGGCACCATCAGATGTCTTCACCACACTTTGCTATAGTATCCATATCTTCAGGGAATCCCTTCGTGAGGTTAACTATAGAGCAGAACCACATCAGAAGAACTGATTGTTCTTAGATTAGGGTTTATAATTAAGTACAAGCTCAAAATATCTAAGGTCATGGATATATGTAGTGTGTGTACGTGTGTGTGAATATTCCTGTTTCACTTTAGTAGCAGCATTATCAGCTTTTTGAGAGAAAATATAAGTAACTTCCCGGAAACCTTTGCTAACTTTAACAAAAGTCCCATTAAACCAGTCGTTGGTACTTCTAATAATAGTATTAGTGGTATATTGTTGTTGGGTGCTTTGCAACATCCTCACAGTTGTTCCTGTGCTTGAGGCCCTTGTTTCAGGCACTGTGTCAATCATCCACTTGAAGGCCTTCCTCGTTCATGCTGCCCCTCTATATTACCAAGCATGATGTCTTCTCCAGGGAATGCCAGTGGTATAGAATTTAAATTACTATTGAGATAAGAGGAATATAAAAAATATTTAATGCCTCAGGAATTTGTATGCCATGCTTGCACAGGGGTCACGATGGTCTTCTTTGTATTGGTCCAATTTTAGGTGTGTTCTCGAAGAGAGCGTGAGTATAATTTAAATACATCAACTAGCAACAAGGTCTCTCTATATAGAGGAGGAGTAGGCAACAGTGTCTGTTTGGGGAAAATTATTTAGTATAAAAATACATATTGTATTCATTTATCTGTCTACTTTTCACTTGTTTTGATTTTGACCTTCTATTAAACAGCTTTCTGAGTGATGAGGTCCTAGGTTTAATCATTTCTTTGTACTATTCATCTTAAAAATGAAAAGTGTGTTGCTCAAACCCTTAAAAAATATTTTTAAACATTTTTATGATTCAAGTATTCTTTGTAAATATTCTGTCACTTCAAAGGGGGTGTCTGACTGTGAAGCATTGGTGTTTCCTTAGTACTAATATTAACTTACATATTTTCTACAATTTTAAACAAAACCAGTAAGTCATAGATGAAAACTAAAAAAAAAATGTAGGTTGATTAGACTTCTGACAATTCTGGCTGGGATTTTATAAGAACTGTATAATTGTTTTCAAACAATTAATATAAGCTAGCCAAAATGTGCTTATGAATTCCCACACTCTCCAACATGAAGATAAATTATAAACAAAGCTAAGCTAGTTTAGGAGGTTTCCGTGATATTCAAAGTTCCTTTCGGATAGTTTAATTCCACAATTAAAAATTTTTTCTTATGAGTTCAGTTTTTTACCCCTTATTGAAACGCAACTATGCCAAAGAATTTAACACCTTCAACTTTGTCAGTGTAATATCTACTCAAGCTAAACACGTGCACACGTGCCTGCCTTTTGATACAAGTCCTCTTATAAATGTAAAATCACCAGAAATGTGTACATATGTTTGCCTTATTAAAATATTCAGAGAGCTCGATTTGTGATCATTCTAGATGGAAAGTACCTAACCATTCATCCATAGAACACTGGGTAACTGCATGGTGGCATATTTCACCATGGAATGCATAGCAGCGAGAAGGAATGAACTGTAACATCGATCTTTATTTTGGATGAATCTCAGAAACATAATGTTGAGTGAAAGAACTCGGACTAAAAAGTAGAAAACACTCGATGATTTCGCACAAAGCTCAGAGTCAAAAGTAAGCTTTGAAATTAGCAGTTAGGAGAGTCGTTATGTTGGTGGATGGGTAAGAGGGAATGGAAGGGGAAGGGCTTGAAGGAACCAGAATGTTCTATTTTTTTTTTAATTTCAGAGTTTACTATGAAATTAATGTTTGCTTATACATTATAATTGTGTTTTCAAAGGCCCAAACTATAACTTACAATCCTTATGACATTTGATTGTTTGTTGATCTGAATTCTGGTTCTTACGTGCTTCTTCAATTTGGGAATTTTTTTTTGTTTTTCCTCATGTCAAACTGCTTTATTACATCTTAAATAACAGTACAGTTTAATATAGGATCTATCTTGCATCCAGCTTCCTTGCAGTACACGGACTTTAAAATTAAATACAAAAGGTGAAAGGGGTACAGGTGCGGAGAGCTCTACAGAGTGGTTTATGGAGAAGGAAGAGGGGCTCGTTTGATTCTTTTGCCGACCCAGGCCGACCGCATGGTCACAGCACAGTGGGTGCGGGCACCGCAGAGGACAGAATGGACAAGCCACTATCTGCTGCTATGGAGGAGCGCTCCTGGGGACAGAGGGAAGGCGGGAGAGCCAACACAACACCCTGCGGCCTAACGCTGCTGCTGGACACTTGAGGGGACAAGGAACCCGGGGAGAGCTGCGTGTTATGAAAATGGCCTGCCTCCTATCTGAGGCTCTCCCCAGGGGAGGGCAGGTGTGAGGGCTCCCCGCTCCCGCCCCTCCTCAGGTCGTAGCAACCATGGTTCAGAGCAGGCCGCTCTCAGACAAAGGACCAGGTGCAGCGCCGCTTGGTGTGCTGCCTACATGTGCACAGAGCAGTGACAGGGGACAAGCCGCCGTGGCGACAATGGTGAAGGGTTACTTCTTAAAAGAAAAAAACACCTAAGGACAGAGTCCTATATGCACTTGGAGCATTTCTACAGCATGCGATTCTAAGAGTAAACCCCACCCAATATGGCAAACGATCAAATTTTTTAAAATTTAACTTAGAAACTTTGAGATCATTATTTTCAAAACATTGATTTGTACATTGTTTCATACACAAACAATTGACTGACGACCCAAGCGCAGGGTGGGCCTCTCCTGATGGTGGGTGGTGGTGGTCATGGTGGTGTGGGGGCAGGAGGGCTGGGGTAGTGTCAGGTCACAGAAACGTCCCCCCAACACCACAGAAAGCCTGAGGAGGGCTCAAAACTGGGCTGAAGGGGGGAGACTACAGGCAGAGAGGGTGCCTGGTCTCAGCAGCCGGGAGTGGGATGGGCAGTTCTGAGTCGCACACTCGCAGTACCCTTTAGAAATGTGCTCTTTAGGTATGTGCACTTTATATAGCTAAACAAAGAGACAAAATAACAAATTATGGCAATACACTACCCACCATTATAAATTAATACTTAAAAGTCAGTCCATTTTTGTTTATTTTTATGAAGGTCTGTCTCAGAACCAGAATGCCTGAAATCAAGGTCAAAACGCAACAACAAGAAACAAACCAGATCCAGAGAGGGCAGGTACTGGGGTGCAGGAGGGATGCTGATGTGTAGTCACAGGGAGAAGACAGGACCAGTGGATCCCAAGAGTTCTCTTCACCAGGCCCCTCCTTGATCTCCTAGAGTTGGTTTATTTCAAAGTCGACACACTTCTTACACTTTAACTTTGTGTATTCTCTCTCTCTCTCTCTCTCTCTATCTCGATCTTTTGAGAAAGAGAGTTATGGTTCATTAATTAGGATTTTTACCTCGAATTCCTTGCAGGGTAATGGCAATCCCTGGGTTCTGTGGGCATAATGAAATTTACCACTTGACTGTATCTTGAAAAAAATCCCCCTAATGATAATTCTTTCTAGTACAAAAACTAGATGTCTTGGATTCCAACAACTTTATAGAAACCCAAAAGTATCTTTAAATAATCTTCATGTGACTACGTTCACAAAAACACAGGCTGCTCGATCTTCTTGCCTCGGTGCCTCTAATTTACTTTTAATTCTGATTTTATTAATTGTCTATTTCCCACTGTGTGTTTACATAACACCTTTTACTAGTAGGGGCTAATGTTTGAGAGGAAAGAGATGCTAATACTTAGCCCATAGAGTGTTAAATATAGCTCTTTGATCTAATAATTGAAGCATTTCGGTTGCCTTCACCCACAGCAATTCTAACCAAAGAACACTAATGACATTTTTTCACATAGTTAAATGGTTTTAGAACCTATTTTAATAAGTAAATTTAATCCATCTTCTAGATATGCCTTACTTCATTTAGCTGAAACTCCACAATTGGGCATTAAATTATTTCCATTTTTCCTTCTATTAAACTATATACAAAGCTATGTTTTTCACACAGATCCATGGTTATTTCCTTAGGGTAATTTTTTAGAAGAATAATCACTGAATCAAAATTCATGCACATTGTAAAGCATTTGAAATGTACTAGTAACTTGATCAGAATAGTTTTCACCATTCTTCAAAATTTCCAAAGGGATTAATTTAGCTTTAAAAGAACATCATCAGTCATAATTGAATTCACAAGGACTTCTCTGTTCTGCATAAAAAAAGAACATTAATTTTTTAAAGCAATATAGTATGACGTGAGAACATATTATAAAGTATGAATTTTGAAGACAAGATAGGTTATTGTTCACCTGGGCAGATTCATAAATGATCGAACTATTCAATCAGTGATAATTAGTGACAATCTGTATCAATCTTAAAATGGTCTGCAGTGGCATACCATGAGAATCTGTACAAATTCTGTTCGAGCTAATACTTGTATTAATTATTTGGCTAATCTTTAGCTCATATATTTGCATGTTATTTAAATATTTAGTTAATATTTGAAAAAGAAACATAAACTTGAATTCTGAAGTCCTACAGAGACTCTACGGACCAAATTGGTGACTTAAATTTATTATCATGAAAGTCAACAGTGAAAAGTTTGCAAATTATGAGAGAGCGTCAGAATATACTAGCACAAGATGACAATTACAAAATTCAATTACGGTGAGGAGAAAAGCGTCAGAGCCAAGATTACGAGCACCCAGTTTGTGGAGGCCATGGGGGACGGTGGACACCCAGACCCATCTGCAGTGTCTGTTCAGACTCAGCCCCCGGCAGATCTGCTCTAGCCACAGGTAGGAGTCTCCTACAGCCTGGAGCTCAGGGAGACCATTGTCAGCTTGACTACGCCGGATCACACTAGATACTTGGCCAGCTGACCACCCTATAGACCAACCTGGATTTGTTCTGGGTCAAAATATCTCTTGCTGGTTCCATGATGGACAATTCTTCCCTGGCTTGTTGAATGTTGTTGGGGTCGTTTCCTTCTTTGGCATTATTTGAATCCCTGTCTGTATACTGTTGTGTTTTACCTTTACCACCTTAGTGCAATGTTTTTGTTGTTGTTTACTGTTGGGTCTCCCAGCTGTGAAGCACAAGAGGAGTGGATGCATAGGGTCATAACTGATACAAGGGGTTATAGGGACTGGAGGGGTGGAGGTGGATGATAGGGAGGGAAAAGGGATTTGAGGAGTAAATTGTGAAGATGGGAGGGGGAGGGAGCACTAGAATGGATTGTGATTGCAGAACTCATCTTAAAGGCAATTTAACCGTGGTAGGCGGAATGCTCTAAAATCGATGTGGGGGTAATTGGACAATTCTCCTTGATATGATCGAATGATTGAGCTATTGAATTAAATGATATGTAAATTAATTACCAATAAAACTGTTGGGGAAAAGAAAGAATATACTAACACATCTGAAAATTAATAAGGGCTTTTATTTTGCCAAAGCTGTAACAGAGGCAACTGTGATATAGACAACAAGGTCACTGTGATTTAAGAATTTATTCTAGAAAATTTAATCTATTTATCTCACACCAAGGGCACTGACAGACTAGATTTCACTCAGAGAAGAGTGATTACCTTAGAAGGAGTCCCTA